TGTCATTTGACTTTCCAGTATACTGTTATGTATTAATATATGCACCAATTATCAAACCTCACCGTTCCAACATTGCCTTAAACTTTATTATACATACTCTACCTGATTAGTTATTTAACCTGTACATGTTTTCATCTATTCTTAGGATGCATTTATCACTTTAATACATGCCCATTGCTTCACATCTCTGAGTGTCACTCCGTCAAGTTCACCTTTTTTACCCATATTTGCAACCTGAATGTTATTTTGAAATCACCATATCCAACACATTTTAACTTCATTTGCCTACATATTACTGTTTTCTAGGATTAAGTGAAACATGATATTTCTTTTCAGGTCTAGCATAGTATCTGGAACAAAGTATTAGAGTTGGATCAGTTTGGAAACTCCCCAGTTGTCCGGTGGTGATAGCAAGGTCTCATAAGGACGTGCTCTGTGCTGTTATAAGTGACCAAGATGAGTTCATATCAGTACACTGATATACAGCATCTCAAAGACATGACTTAGATCTTCATGAGAGAGATTCGCATCATTGTTCAGTAAGGCAGAATCTCCCTGAAACTGTATTTTCCAATCGCATTGTTGACTTTTGTAGTTATCGACATTAAAATGGAATGCATATTTGCTATAAAACATGGTTGTGGTCCCATCAAAACTTTAAATTTGAGTGGGCTATTAGTTATACAAATAACTGCCCAAGTACCTGAAAAAATAAATGTGAAGCATAGCACCTGTCTTTGTTTATTTAGTATGTACACCTACATGCATTTGGATAGGCATATTGCAATTTGCTGCCAAAATCACTGTGATCTATCACGCTTCGGTATCTCTGGGAATAATATTATCAGTTGTACAGACCCAAAATACTATTTGTTTTAAATACCATTCATTATTTAACGTTGCTGCCTTAAATGTGTCAAACTGAATGTTATAACTTGTATGAAAATTTATTTTTTTAAAAAAAAATAGTTTTTAAAAATAAATATTTATTTAAATTTCCATTAAAATTATCAAATCAATATCTTTTAATTTCAGACATATTTTCAGACAGGCCTTATCGCGTATTACAATTAGGTTTTTACTGCATTGAAAAATTCATATAATTAAGGAAGATATATCGAATTTAGTTTTGGTTTCTTACGAACAATTGGACCTCAAATTGCACCCTACAGAACACCAGCACTATACACTTGCAAGGAAATTTCAAAGGACTTCATGTATGAAGTTGAAATAGTTGTGGCATGCAAACAAAAATATTAACTAAAAGATTGACACTGTAAGGAATCAGAACACAATTAATAATTCCGGTTCAGTACCAACGAATGTAGTCCCAGTCTATTTTTAGATCATTTTTTCCAGTCTCCGTCTGGTGGTGATACAAAAGTTAGATTTTGGCATTCTTGGTAAGGACTTAAAGGCAATTGTTTATTCTTTAGAATGTGAGTTTATTGTGTGGTTGTCTGTGTGTATTTCGGTAACAGTGTACATTGAGTAATAAGGCCTTGGTGATGATTTGGAAGTGAAATCTCTCTCTCTCTCTCTCTCTCTCTCTCTCTCTCTCTCTCTCTCTCTCTCTCTCTCTCTCTCTCTCTCTCTCTCTCTCTCTCGTTGACCCAGTTATGTCTAAGTCCTTTTATTTTAACATTCTGATGATCGGAGCACCCATAATAAGATGGAGAGGTGGGTGTGTCATAATGTACAGGAAGACCTAATTGGTGTTTTGTTTACAATTCAGCATCTCAAACAAACGCAGGTCAACCCTTGACAAGAACTAAACCGTAAATTCATCTTTGAAGGTATTTTAGATTAAAATATGATTTGTATTGACTGTCACACAGTGGAACGTTCCATACTGAGAAACAAATGAAAAGGCTATATAGTAAAATTAATTGTGTTCTATGGCCATCTGAGAGACCTTCGGTGACTCTTCGGCGGTCTTCCCCAACCAAATCTACTGGCCGTTATAAAACCGTATCATGTTCTGAAATTGGCATTAAACTCCAAAAGACCTAACCAAAACTTTATGAAATTCTAGAAAATGAAAGCCAATGACCATTTTGTTTTCATAACTCATAAACATATTGTGCACAATATAACAAAATCAAACATCTGTACTGTACAGTCAATGCACTACTACGTCTTGTTCTATTATGACACGGCACATAAAGAGTTTGTTAAGACTTTAGTTCTTAAAAAAAGTTACGAAAAGAAAGTGAAACAAAGGACTTGAAGAAAATCAACAAGCAATTTATTTCCCTATAATACAAAGTGAAAATTCAGAAGATAATTACAATATTGTGACCAATCACAGGTTCAAAAATATATAATAATCGCCTCGAATGAGGAATTCACAGTGTCTGATTGGTTGGATATTAGTGATGACGTGATATTTAATTTTTAGATAGACATTAATTTGACGAAAAAACAAGTGTTACTGTTCAGTGTGTCGGTATGGATACATTATGTCTACCATACTTGTAAGCTTATCTGCACGCGTGAACACAGCTGCAGTAATGTAATGATGAAGTGAAAGACATTTTTGCTTGAACTACACCAATAATGGGCTGGGAACGGGGTGGGTGGTGCGCAGGGGTAATTATAGTACAAGTCACACTGGTGATTTACTGATTTTAATTTTAAAAATATATATTTATTGCTAAAAGTTAATTGTAATAAAGTAATAACAAAGTTTATGCCATCATAATTTTTTAGACGAAAATTTTTGATCACAATGGACTTTTAAAATCGCAGTTAGTCATTACGCTGGATCAAGAAAGTCGATATTGGATGGAAATAGTTAAGGTACGATCGCGTGATGCAGTTGCGTGCATCATCATTTATCTCCCGTAGGACTCACTGTACCAATTCCGTTCCCATAGAAAATCTAGGCAATCAACACAATATTAAAAATTCAATAACTTAAAATTTCTGAGTGCTCGTGATCAAACCTATATTTATAAGTATAGATGTAACCTGGATGTCAGCTTCTGTGTAGAAGAAAGGCTATGAGCTGCGTCATTTTCTGCACATGCAGTCAGGTGTTAATTTAGTAAAAGGTGTTCCAAAACTCACGACTTTTTAACGGACTGAAATTCTCTCAATAAAACGATGTCTCTATTTTGTTCCACTTATGACTAGGATAAGGTTTCAAAAGATTTTTTTTTCCTAAAACATAACTTACATTATTAACCAATCCTGGTCAGCGAAACCCGTATATATATGTATGTATGTATATATGTATGTATATATATATATATGTACGTATATATATATGTACGTATATATATATATGTACGTATATATGTATATATGTATATATATATATATATATATTTATTTATATATTTATTTATATATATATATATATATATATATATATATATATATATATATATACATACACACATACATACATACATACATACATACATACATACATACATACATACATACATACATACATACATACATACTGTATTTGATGTTCGCCCATTTCCAAGCTGGTTCCCATTTTTCCATATAATTACTACCGTGTGTCAACTATGAATGGGCTAGTGGAGGAAAATCCAGTAAGTTTTAGTCCTCGCTTGTACATGTGAAATTTCTTCAAAATCATAATTCTGCATAATGTAAAATTTAGCTAAAATAAATCTGAATTGACAGTCGTGTTTCTAGTCTTTTAGTTGTATGAAAGCACATATTTGAATGTGAAAAATAGGTATTATGTACGAATTGAAATAAAAGAAAAGGTGTTTTCCCAGTCTTTTTTTTTATATAAATGACGACATTGTCATGTCGGTGTTTGTTTGTAGTGTTTGTTTGTAGTACAAGTTTTTCCCCACAGGCACTTGATTCATATGAAATTTCTTCAAAATCATAATTCTGCATAATGTAAAATTTAACTTAAATAAATGATTTGACAGTCGTGTTTCTAGTCTTTTAGTTGTATGAAAGCACATATTTGAATGTGAAAAATAGGTATTATGTACGAATTGCAATTAAAGACAAGGTGTTTTCCCAGGATTTGTTTATAAATGATGACATTGTCGTGTCGGTGTTTGTAGTACAATTTTTTTTCCCCACAAGCACTTGATTCATGGAAAAGCCAATGATGACACTCCTAATTAACTGGAAGTGTGTTATCATTGGTTTTTCCAATAATCAAGTGCATGTGCTTTTTCCAGATCGCTGGCGCGTTCCTTTTTACAACAGAGCGCGAAGGGGAAAAAAAGGGGAAAAAAAAAAACGATTTAAACAAGATAACCCGGCTTGCTTGATTGTTCCTAAAACTAAGTACGTTATTGTTGAATTTGCCGTTAAAAAAATTCTAATAACTTACGCAATGATCATCAATGGAATTTTGATGGACAAGGCGCGAAATAAAGCGAATAAAGGTCTTTTAAAAGTATGTTTTCAAATTCTTTACAGTGACATTTGTAACTGCATAACTATACTTAAACGAGTACGTGATCTATGTGATTTGTACTGTAGGTGTTGTGCACAATGATAACATTCCTAAGAGACGGACAATTAAGTATTTTTGGAGAGGGTGGTTGTGGCAATTTTCTTTCTAACCAAGCCATTAAGATAGTTGTTTGAACTAATACGTCATATATAATTTTTCCTTTTTTTCTACAATCAGAACAAAGTATTTTTTAAAGGTCATATGGAGCCTGATAATTTGTTTTTCCCCTATCAGGCGGCGCGGTTGTTCACTTGTCTCTGTATCCTTGTGTGTGTGTGTGTGTGTGTGTGTGTAATAATGTGTTTTTTAGATTTTAAGTGTAGCTTTAACAATTTTTCAGTCATATCGCTAGGATGTCTGCAGTGTGGCAGTTTATAGTTATGTCTAGCTCTGAGGCATAATGCCGCAGACATGAAGCATGATGTTCCACCCAGTCACATTATCCTGACACCAGGACGATCAGTCCTAACACTAACCACTTAATGCTGAGCACATAGCCAGGCAGCTGTCAGTACCATATTTTATGTCTTTCGTATGACTCTGAAGGGATTTGAACCCGCGACATCCCGCATCCGAGACGGCCGCTCTAACAACTATGCCACAAGAACGGTCAATAGACACTTAACTCCGATTTCCTCGGCATGGCAATGCCAGAAGTGAGTTAAAAGTGTTTTCCAACGCAAGCAAATTCCTTGAATTAAAAGAAAGAAAGCCCCTTTCTACATCCTGAAAAAGTAAATCATCTGTTTAGTTATTGTTCTAAAACTAGATCGCTGTTACTTGCGCACCAACAGGAAAAGGTCGAATAACTGTGTACATTTCTCATCGTTAATCTATAAGGCGGATGAGCCAAGTTCCTGGTAAATTACGAGGCGCCGTGGCGGACAAAAGCTGGTCTAATGAGAACACTGCGGTTGAAATGTCGATGCCGTATGTCGAGAAATCCAACATCACGTGCTGGGTCAAATTGCAGGTCCTTAAAGTTCCATTTTCTAGATCGAGATTTTAGATTTTTTTATGTTGAATTATAAAGGTGGTTTAAGGTTCAATATCCTATGCCGACGTTTTACAGTGTATATTTTGAATTACACAGCGGTGGTTTGAAATTTCAATATCATACGTTGAGAATCCCCAATTCAAACGTTGCATGCAACTATTTGTGGAGAAAATTTCTATTTCATGTGACGATTATTTAGACTTCATCTGCTGGATTTCATAGCAATAATAATCAGCCTTTTTGTTTAAAAATAACGCGGTCCGACCACGAAAGCGACCTCTAGCGAAGAAATTCATAGTAAATATCAACCTGTAAATGGTAACTTTCAAACTGTAAATACATGAGATGTAATGGCGCCTCGTAATTGAATACACGAATGATGTATCTTGATACTTGATATTATTTTGAATTGTTAAAGTGGACATTGTGTAATGTTACTTTTAACACCAACACATTTCACCAAATAAAAATACCAATTCTGACAAATGTTAAATTGAAACTTTCGACATATGACATCAAAATTTCAACAATCGCTGTGTTATTTAGAAAATACAATCTAAAAATTAGACATTGGACATCGAATTTTCAACCAGATAAAATCTAAATACTCAATATATGAAATGGAACACAAGCTCTTTGAACCAATACGTACGTTAGAAATTTTAGACGGATGACATTGAAATTTCAACCACCACCATGTAATTGAAAGGGCACAATCTAAAACCTCTACATAGAAATTATAACTTTCAAGCACTACTGTTTAATTAAACATATACAATCTAAAATCTCGATCTAGAAAATTGAACTTTAATGACAAGCATTTTTGATACATGTGAAACTGGAATTCTGGACATATGACATTAAATTTTCAACAGAAACGTTCTGATTGGACCAGCTTTTGTCCACTACGGCACCTTATAGTAATAACAAATGCGGTTCCTTCGTTTCCAAAGATTTAGCTAAGTGACGACATTGCCAGAAACATTTCAATGTTGTTGTTTTTTTTTTTTTGTTTTTTTTTTTCTGAAAAGGCTACCAGGCTCGAGCTAAAAGCTGGAACTGTACGGTACCGTGCTCGTGTGCTGTTCTTATTGGCTGAATTCTATCAGGGAGAATTAGTTCATTCATTGTCTGACTGCTTAAAACCAGTACAATCCGGTTGTGTTTATTGATAATGTACACGGTCTCATAGTGACCTATTGCATCAATGCAGGGCATTGACTATGGTGTATGAAAAGGGTCAAAACGAAAGGTACCGTTGTAACTATCTACGCATTGAGTGAAAAATGCTATTTTTTTTTAAAGCAACGGCATAATTTGGCATTAAAGTGACAAATATTACCGTTGCAACGGTATTTTTAAGCTGTTATTATTTAAAATGTATTTATATGTCTTGCTATGCTATCGATTTACTATTGCGACGATATTTAATTGCGATATTTTTTCGTTGTTGCAATGGTATATTTTAGTGATGCAACCGTGATAACTTTGTTATAGCAATAACATTAATTTGTGATTGAAACACAACCATTCTATGTTTTAAAAAGGTAATCTTAAGGTTTTAACATTAAAACAGGTTGTTCCAAATACAGATATTGTGTTTGAACGGTAATACAAAAATAAATCACAACAGCAAGGAACTATATTGCCGTACATTTTATTTAAATATCACTGCAATGTGAACTTAATATTGACACGATATCGTAGTCTTGTGAAATTAAAGCTTACGATGTGGTCATGTACCTGCAATGGAGCAAATAAAACTGTAGTAAAAGTGAAAAAGAAATGAGTGAAATCTGCTTCCTAAAAAGAGTAATTTTGGGCATTGCGACCTATTTAATCATATTGAAGGGAAATTGTTTGAATGTTTACACTAGCCATGTTGTCGGTCATGATAGGTGACATATGATTGTCAGGGCAATCTTTTTTCTCCAGAAAAGGCTTCCTATACCGCATTGGGATATTAGGAGTATTTCCAACTGTTTATGTTTCCAGTGAAAGCTACAATAGCCTTGTATGGTTAACTGGAAACAAAGTTTCTCGAATTAACTGTCGCTCTTATGGCAGATAAGAATTTCATGGAATCCAATATAAGCACGTTTCTTCCTTTAAACTGCTGAATATTGAAACCTTTTCAAGCGGTAAGATATTCAGACTAACTTCAATGGCAACAATACTGAGTGTAAGATCAGCGCCATTTTCATTTGGACGAACTAGACGTCATTAGAAGACTTTTGATGCCGATATGACCATTCAGTCAGGAGGAAAAGAGATAACAGGATTGCCATGGTGGCAATAATAGTTTTCAGACCGGCATCTTTTCATTTATGATCGACCTGAATATCAATCTTGGAATAGTAGCGATAACAATATCAATCATGGAATAGTAGCGATAACAATATCAATCATGGAATAGTAGCGATAACAATATCAATCATGGAATAGTAGCGATAACAATATCAATCATGGAATAGTAGCGATAACAATATCAATCATGGTATAGTAGTGATAACAATATCAATCATGGAATAGTAGCAATAACAATATCAATCATGGAATAGTAGCGATAACAATAACATGGAATAGTAGCGATAACAATATCCATCATGGAATAGTAGCGATAACAATATCAATCATGAAATAGTGGCGATAACAATATCAATCATGGAATAGTAGCGATAACAATATCAAACATGGAATAGTAGCGATAACAATATCAATCATGGAATAGTAGCGATAACAATATCAATCATGGAATAGTGGCGATAACAATATCAATCATGGAATAGTAGCGATAACAATATCAAACATGGAATAGTAGCGATAACAATATCAATCATGGAATAGTAGCGATAACAATATCAATCATGGAATAGTAGCGATAACAATATCAGTCATGGAATAGTAGCGATAACAAATTTTTTAAGATGGCCGCTCTGTCTACCATATTGAATATCCGTGCTACTCTTTAAAACTCAAGAGCAACTAGATGTGTGTGTGTGTTTGTGTGTGTGTGTGTGTGTGTGTGTGTGTGTGTGTGTGTGTGTGTGCAAAATTTCATTACAATCCTTCGAGTAGTTTAAGTGGAATAGCGATAACAAACTTATGTCAACTGACGAACCGACGACGGAAAGCATGCCATCTCATAAACTGACCAGGAAAGGCTGAAAAAGGAAGCCAATATTAATGCATTAACCAATATGGTGGCCAATTCAAGAACAAATTTGGGCTGATGGTCAACGTTTACTTAAATGTTTTCTGCAGCACAATCGTGATTTTTTTTTATTAAATAGAAAGGTTTGAGATAAGTGTGAAGTATTTTGGAAATATGTTGAAAGTTTGAAGAAACTTGATGATATAGAATAATTTTGTTGCCCATTTGATGAAGGAGTTGAGGGTCCTAATAGTTGTTGTTCTTGTTCTGGGGTTTAACGCCATTTTTCAGCACACGATAGGCTATACATGGTGACCAGTATTGATGGTCGAGGAAGAAACCGGGAAATCCGCGGAAAGAACCATCGACCCACTAGAAGCTATTGGAAAGCTTTCTCATATATCCACATGTTTTGTACTTAGACTAAGCTATTATCACATAATGGTATATCAGTGGGCATCGTTGCAACACCACCAGGCTTAAAAAGTATAAAAAATACAACACCTTTCAAGGGTAAAGTTATGGTTGCAATGTAAACTTAAGGATGCACCAAAAGAAAAAAAAATGTACCATTGCAATGATATTGGATTACCTTTAAAACGGTACCAGTGTTTTTCACCCTTTTGGTGCACCATACATTGACCGTAGTACTTCCGTGCTTAACATTGATAGCTCATGGTTTATAAATAGTGACCTTGGTATTGACTGATACACGCATAGCGCACGTGTATAAATACTACTGGATTGTTTGTATACAAAATCAGCTTGTTGGTAAATATCGCACATATACTTTTTCCAAGCAACATATGGGTGTGTTAATAAAATACCTATAGAGGTATGTTATTTAAATATGATATAGGTGTGTTACTAAAATATCTATATGGGTATGTTACTAAAACATCTGTAAAAAGAACAGGAAATCAAATTAGGGATTCATTCGTGTCGTTGTAAAAGTCATTAAATAACTAAAAAGTTGCTACCTTGTCTTTAAATTCCTTCACGGCAGTAAGTGAATATCACGGTGCGTGTAACTTTTCCAGCAGTGGTTTTTCCAGATTTGACACGGTACTATTTTTATTTGCATTGAGCCGATAGGTCATTAGCAAATATAAATTTAAGTGTGTTGCATATATTGATGGTGTCACGTTTTGATACATACATCATAACAAATGTATCGCATATACGAGAATTAAATAAAAACATACAGAGAGAGAGAGAGAGAGAGAGAGAGAGAGAGAGAGAGAGAGAGAGAGAGAGAGAGAGAGAGAGAGAGAGAGAGAGAGAGAGAACCTGCACCAAGTAACCTACAGGAACATGTAATTTCTTAAGTGTTGGAGTACACATTCCATGAGATTTTAATACAGTGTTTCCAGTACCAATTATACAAATTTACAATAGTCTGTGAAGACAATAGGCGCAATTTTTTTTTTTTGCCTATGAAAAAGACACGTACTGTATGTA